ACGTCAGACACGCGCTGCTTTATGCGTGACACGAGCTCATCGATCCAGACAGCGGTGTCGTCTAATTGACAAGTTGGACCGATGTCTGGGATCAAGATGTGCTGAGACAATGAATATGCACGCGCGGCGACTCGTCTCTGCACATACAGTCATATAAGCTGGCTCATATGCATGTATTTCAAGCTTTCATTAACTTTATATGTCCCACAGTGACCATGATTAAGATGAACATGAGCAAAAGGAGTTATTATTTTCTCAGTATTAGGGTCTATACTTGAGTTTCTGCACGCTAGAGGGAGCGCATAGCACGATTACTAGAGCCAGAGGCTTCTCTTTTTTTGGGATACATTCTTCTATCCTGGCTCCTATGCTATATGAATTTGAAGAAGGGGTTGTTGGTCATTGCTGTTGCATATGCACTGTGTTGAATTAGAGAGTATGCACAGGGTTGGCTACAGTTTACTTTATTCCTGTAATCTGATTACATTCAATACACATTCACGTCTACACACACACGTACACACTTCATACTTTGAAAACCTGCTTATTATTGCATCCAGATGCTGGTTGAATCATAACCATATGCTCCTTCCTCAGATTTCTAAGTGGACTCTGCACATGGTGAACAAAGGTGACGCACACACACACACACACACACACGTTCCTGACCGCCCTGCAGACTGTCACACCGCCAGCCCAGAGAACACAGTTTGTTCATGGGGTCAGTAATGAACGTGAGTGGTCATGTTTTTACAGTATAATCAACAGTTGTTATGGACTGTCATTTATCCGGACCAGGCCGAAGCAGCGGGTTTAGGTTCTTTAGGGAGCCCCAGGGGAAGAGAAGGGGGGTGTGTGTGTGTGTGTTTGTGTCTGTGTGTGGGGGGGGGGGGGGGGTTTTTATTCTCCGGGCCTGCTGGGGGGGGAGCAGCATTCCCGCATCCCCCCCCCCCCCACCCCAAGAAAGTGACTGAATCAGGTTCAGACTTTTAAATTTAGGAGCAAAATCAGTTCTGCAGTGCAGTAACTCACATGTGTCTGATTGCTCACATGAATTTTCAGTGTTTACCACTCATTGGCTTTGTAAACATCCATGAGAATAGCTCATTTAGGCGATCGGTTACCAAACTATATAATTTAAATGTAGAAAAAGAGGGGGGAACATCCAGTGAAGGTAAACAGCTGTGACCACATTACAAATGCAAAGACCGGGCTTCACTGTAATCATGAAAAACAGAGAAACAACAGACAAAACTTGCATGAGAAAAACCACCCTTCAATGTTTTAAACTCATGTTACTTTGTAGTTTCTCCAAACCCTGCAAATTCTTCAGACTTTGTGGTAAGAAAAGGCTGTGTTTTTCTCAGTTTGGGAATTTTGGCGGATACCCGATGGTAAAGATTTTTGCTGGTGGGGTTCAGAGGTGAAGAGGAGTTAGGTTGATTTAGGACATGAAGGTGAGGCCTGTGTGAGAGGTAAAACACAACTCCAACGAGTGAACCCCATCAATCTGAGTTCAACAAGCACAGTTCAAAAAAGGACGTCCATCACTGATCAGAAACATCTTTAGCAGGAGAAGCTGGCCATTTCTGAATCTCACTGTCAGATACACGCACGCTCACAATCCTCTTTGTCACACAACACCTCACTACTTCTTCTGGCTTGTAGAGCAATTTGATAGTCTTCCCGTTACTTTTAATTCCCCCCCCCCAGCGTAGTGGTTTCTTGACTCATGTGGATTGAGTTTCAGAATACCGGGTGATTCACACAGAGAGGATAAGAAGCAGGGAAGGTCACACTCCTTTCATTTCCTCACAGAAGGCAACTGGCACATCTTAGCGGAGTGGAAAACAAAAGGGCGCCACAGGGGAGACGGATGGCTGCTGTGTGTGTATTGAAAGCTGAGACAGAGCAGGAACCGGCAAACACCTTTGGAGGGGCCAGTGGCTCGTCCTGAAGGTGTTCATATTTGCATTCCTTATCCCACTAACACCTTCATCTGTTCATTGATTTCTGGTGGAGGAGAGGTAATATACCAGCTACATGTGTTATGGCCACTTTGGAGTCGTAATATGCATTGGAAAACTACTTGGCTTTATGACAAAATATCAATTTTTATAAGCAGACAGATGCACAAAGGAGCAGACATGGATCTGTATAACTGTGGAACTTGCAGAAAAGTCAAATAAATTGAGATCACACCAAAATATCTTCATCTGGAGGTGACAGCCTGGAAGCCGATAATAGAACAATATTTGAATACCCTGCTACAACAAATAATAACAATAATAACACTGAGGGGACAGCAGGGGCCTATAATCTAAAGGTTTACATTGCTTCACTGGATTAAGGGCAGGATGAAAAGTACAAGTCTAATTCCACATCAAACTGCGCTGCAGCATGAAAGTATAATTAAAATCCGACAACCTTTATTTGACCAGGTGGGTCAGTGAAGAACAAACTCTTATTTACAGCGATGGCCTGGCAGAAGCTCCGGCAAAGTCAACAGAAATGCTGTAGAACAGCGGGGAGGGACAACTTTCCCAGTGATCAAATTTAATACAAAACAGAGTGGAGGCGCTCAGCCGCGCACTGTGCCTCCCATCTTTCACCACAATCACGCTGCGTACACAGGTGAAAAAATAATCTTTCGCTGGCTGCTCGGTGGATTTGCTCAGAAATATTGGGGCCATTTCAATCAAAATTGTCTGCAAGTCATCTCGGGGAGGAAATCTGGCACCAGAAGCTGAGCGAGAGAGAGAGATGTAACTTTCCATCTCCAAGCTGCTGCTGTTAAGGGAACTCAAAGCAATGCTGCAATCCAAAAAGAAGAAGGATGGAAAGTTAGTCAGTAGTTTCCCAAAATGGATCTTTTTACACGATAAAGGGCCATTACACCAATTTTAAACATTAGGCTCCACTTGCTTTTCACAAGGAATACTATTCAAGGTGGGCGTGGGCTGGAAACAAACTACAGTTTGTACAACATGTCTTCCGATCACGTTGGAAAGCTAAAGTGCTCTTTGCTGTTCCAAATGGATGCAACTGAACTGTGAAAAGCCGCCTGCCATTATGAGGAGCGCAACGCCATAATCATTCAGATATGGGGATGATGGCGCACTCTTCATTGAGAGTGCTGCACTCGCTTGTACACACAAAAGGAAACGGTTGTGTAAAGAATGAAAACCTCTGAACTGAAAGTCACGTACATTTTTTAAGACACGTCCCCCTTCAAATTCGGACATCAGAAATGTTTGAGGGACGGGGTTTCAGGCGTTGACCCTAATGACATGATGTTTTTTTTTTTTTAAATCAATTTGTTATCTCGGATTAGGATTAAAACTTTTGATGCTTTCAGCAGAAATTACAAACTGGATGTGTGGGGTTTGAAACAAGTTTGCGTTTGGGAGGATATTGAGTGTTTGAAGCTTGACCCATACTACAAGCTGTTTTTGAATTTCTTTTTTGTTTTTAAATCCGTCTCTTTTTTGAGACCCCCAACTTTATGGAAGTGCAGCAGTGAAGCACTGGGGTGCACCTTTAACGATACACATCTGAGGCAGGATCACTGTTCTGTGCTGTTTACTGCTACAGACACAGTGAAACCACTTCTTGTCCCGTCTCTCCCTCCCCCCCTTGCTTGTAAACACAAATGTACCTGTCCCGCTGGTTAACCCCCACCCACCACTACCATCCACCCACCTACCCGCGCACACTCCACACTTGAATGCACACAGGAATGCGAGGGGAATGACACAATCCGCTAAATGCTGAAATCTGGGCGGCCTGGTCGGCTCTCCGCTCAACAGCAGGCCTAATGAATGGCCATTCAGATACGCAGACAAAGCCGAGGCTAGATTTCTACTATACGGTGGGGTCAGGGGTCACGCAAAGCACTGACAGAAGTAGAAACCAGAGATGAATGCCTGTCCCTCTCTTTCACACAATGAATAACTCCGACACAGAGATTCATACACACCATAACACACTGTGTGGGGTTTAAAATTTTAAAAAAAGTTATTCATCGTTATTTATCTCCACTACATGGAAGCTCCACTGGCGCAGGTCTGTACTTTGTGGGCCACAAGAGAGCAGTAGAACAAGAGGAATGAGTCAGTAACGCAGAGATAATCAAAGGACATTAATCAATGAACCTAAACACTTCTTGAAGCCCTGACAGCTTCGCCAGGTTATGGTAGCTTTGGAAAGAGCAGCAGAGAGAGAGAGAGAGAGAGGAAAAAAAAAATTCTGTGTGAGAGTTTAGTTTAAGCTTATGCTGCGCTCTAAGCTGCTCTCAGCCCGAGGCACAGGAGAAGAAAAGAACATCTCTTCATGATTAAAAGAGCTGAGGACCAGGAAGAGAAACATAGGAGAGGACAAGCTTCCAGCCCTCGAGGGGTAAAGGCTTTCCGGAGAGACAGAAGGCAAAGAGGAAAGGCAAAGCTGGGAAATGTAGGCGGCGTGAGACTCACTTCTCGCAGTCTCCTGTTTCCATCTCATTATTAAAAGACGGAGCGGCGGGATAGATGAGAGGCACGTTTGCAACAAGAGCCACAAAGGACATTAGACATTTTACTCGCACGTTTCTGCTGCGAGCGTAGCCAGTTCAGATGAGGCATTATCTAACCACAGATTAAAAAGAAGAAAACCAGGAACTATTTATTTATTTCACATCTCTGAGAGCCGAGATAAAATGCAATTATAGCATAAAAGGAACGGGCAAATCCAGAGGCATCAGTGTGTGTTTTTTGGCAAATATGGAGCTGCTTCGCTCTGAATTTGGGACAAAAGTCACCGGGGTTACTGGGACAGCTCCGCCTGTCATTAGGTAAAATATATGGACTTTCACTTTCGGGTCAGAGAGGATCTTCCTTTGACGTCCAAACAATGACGTGCACATATATTTGGCGCAGCAGTCACGCTCCAGTTGAGGCGATAATGACTTTGATGATTATCTACAGACATGTTGATAAGCAGAAAAATGAGTCCTTGATATTAAACACCGGTGTGTGTCTTTATTATGAATACTGAATACAGATTAGCCTACACACAGGACAGTAATCAAAACATACTTTATCTATTCATCATTGAAAAGTGGATTTTATTGAGATCTTCAATATGAAGACCACATTGCTCACACTCCTTAAATGAATCTCTCAGACTCTGGCGTGACAATACCAGTGATTTTGATTATGGGCCTGTGACATTCATTTATGTTAATTAAGAGGGTGGATGATTTTATGGTATCACCAACCACACTTTTTCAAGTGTACCTCAGAGTGTGGCCATTACTACCACCCAAGGTTTGGTGTGAATCAATCCGAATTCAATTTATGTTAATCATCACATTTGAATGGATTTTGAATGTGTATAAATTGCACTTTAAGCCTCTTGAAACCCGGGATAATTATCGCATATGATAGAAATGCCATGTTAAAGTCCAAGGAAGAGGAAAACCCAAATTGCCAATTGAAAAATCATATAAGTGCTCAATGGCACTAAGGTAAAAAGCATTTAGAAAAAGCAATTATACCATGTTGTGTTGAACATATTTGAATTTGTTTTAGCAGCCGTTTTAACTTCATTTTCCTGATTCACTGCAGGAAAATGATATACGACTTGCCAAAATGATTGGTATTATCCTTCGAGAGATCTTTGAGCAATACTTTGACATTTTGAACTCCAGTCTGTTATTCTTCTTCAAGCACTTGTAATAATGTGAGGGGGGGGGGGCTGCTGTGCTAATCAAACAGCGGCTCAACAGTGTTGTTAGCGCACCAATCAGAAACCAATGGATACTACTGGCTACAAGCTAGCATGTTAGCTTAGCTGGTAGCTGTAGATTGTCTTCAATGCAAAACGTTAAGAATTTCAAGAGACTCATTTTGAATAGCTTTGAGGCAACGGCAGAAACAATTTACCAACTACACAACCAGCATGAAGGAACATAATACTTCAAAATGTCAAAGTTACCCTTTGAGATACATTTTAATGAAACAATAATCACTCATGAGAGATTTCTGCTATATAAAATTGGCATTTAAGTCCACAAAGACGACTGAATGGCACTGGAAGATGGAGAATACAGAATAAGATAATTAAAAATGCATCAGTTATATTTAAGAAAAACAAGTTTGAGGCCAGATAGCTTCCCTTGGGTAAACTTCTACAATGAAACCCAATTCTACAGTGTTCTCTGGTCTCTGGGTCCACTTGGTCCTTGTTCAGTCAGTATTTTCAGATTATAATGAAACTGAGCTGCCGGCAGAAAACAGAGGCAGTAGCAAATAACCAACCACTCCAAGAGAAACACATGGAGTTACTGAAGATTACAATTCACTCTGAAATGACAAAAGCGCTGATATGTCTCAGTGTCTCTCTTCTCACATGCTGCGGAGCCGATGAAGAGAAAGAAGATGAAAGAAGTCTGATTAGGACGAACGAGTACAGCGCTCTCCCAAGTTTGCATTACACATCACACCTGAGGAAAGAGGTAATGTTGAAATCAAACAGAAACAAAGAAGTAAAAATCCAACTGTTAAAATGTTCCATCTCAATGTGAAAAAAATGTCCGTGTAGTAATGTAATCCAGATGGATTAAATGCAAGACACCCAGGTGAAAGCAGTTCTCTCATAATTACAACAATATGAAAAATGAAAACCTTGGATTGTCACTGGCATTTCTTTTTGTCTCCTTCGGTAAAGTGACTTTTTACTGGGACAACAAACCGGTCCACTGCCAGTTTCCAAAATGACATGATACAACAGAAACATTGTAAATTCTGATCAGTCTCTCCTCTTGGTTTAGCACAATAATTGGGTCCTTAATTCACGTAGATACAAAAACACTGACCGCAAAAAAATGAGGCAGAGTCAAGTCTGCACAACAGCAACTTTGTCCCCATGGTCACTGTGCTTGTCAGGGACATGCCCGTCTCCGGACAGCTCTCTCTTTCGGATGGGAATGTCATCTTGAGTCGTTCATTTTTTGAATTATTTTTTGGTCATAGGTAAATTCTGCTGATTTCCCTTGAAGTCCGTGTTCAAAGTGGGGTCACAGGGATAAGCATCCAGAGTGCTCAGAGTACACGGCCGCACTGGTGTGCTGGTGTTCACGTCCAGGTTACTAAACGAGGTGAGCTAGAAGGTGACAGTCGCAGTGCTCTTGTTCCGAAAGGTCATTGTCTGGATGCTGGAAAGGATTTTCCTCTGGTGCCCAGCCAAAGTCACTCCCATGTGCAGCAGATCCCTGAACACAGACGAGAAAAATCACTAATTAGACAGGAAGAAAATAAAAAAATAAATAAAAGGATATAATTGGATGGACAAGAATAATATTTCAGTCATCACATTTCGGCTCTCTGGGCTTCCATTGTCTTAAATTCAAATTAAAAAAATGCACCTCAGGAGATTGTAATGATAGCTGATAACTGTAACGACTAAAAGCTACAAGGCTAGCTCCCAGACCTTGTGCCATGGAAGAAAAGTGAACATTTAGCTTTAGAGATAAGAAGTTTAGATAAGAAAACTGGAACTGACTGTGTGGTGATCTGGGCCAGCTGGTCCACTGAGTTGAAGCCGGCCTGCAAGAAGCTGTCTTCGTAGCGCTCCATCTTGATGGCCCGAAGCCATTCCCCCACTGAAGCGCACGACGAGAGGGCTAAAGGTGCACGCTGGTCCAGCAGGGGGTAAGACGGCCTACGGCACAGAGTAGAGAAACAATGGAAGAACTTACTCACACTGTCACCAAAACAACAGTGAGGAGCTTACAAACATCCAGCGGCAACATTCCAGTCGACAGGCGAAGGTATAATCTGAGGCTGAGTGACTGACGGGGCCAGACAATGGGATTCGTCAGGGGCGGAGTGTCCTCTCCTATATGCGACCAGCTGACAGGCAGAATGTGGAGGAAGGGTAATCAGCACAGCAAGTGTCTGACAGGTCACAGCAGGACATCCAAGTGGTACATAAGATTGGGCAATAGGAGGGTAATGTGTGTCCTGTGACTATTACAACCCTGAATGGAAAATAAATTCTAAATGGAGGCTAAAGAAAGGGACATCATGAAATGACTGGCATGCTTCCTTTTCGCCACCACTGTGACCAGGTTTATCCGTCAATCACCGAGAAACCGCTGCACTCACCCCGCTCCTTCTTGAGCCACTATTTTCAGCGAGGCGGGGTTGCGGATGAGCTTATCGAGGGCACTGACGAGGTCGGAGAAGCGAGGGCGCGCCGAGCGGTCCTTCTGCCAGCAGTCCAGCATCAGCTGGTGCAGATGGGTGGGGCAGTCAGGGGGTGGTGGCAGCCGGTAGTCCTGCTCTATGGCATTGATAACCTGATGGGAAGACAAATGATCACTATTCAAACCAATGCATTCACTTTTCATTTCAATGAACGTTGAGCTGCTTGGTGGGTTAGGAAAAAAACAAACATTACAGAAGAGGAAAAAGTTTCCTCCACTTAAATTTGCCCTTTATACCAGTGTTGCTCAGCAATCTCATGGTTAAGCTACTATCCAAACACTACATTGTTTATCTGAAAAGTTCATACATAGCTTTTTTTCAGAATGCAAATGTTACATTTTGTTTTTGCAGAAGCTCAACTCTGTGCTGCGCCAAATAAAACCTTCCAAATAATTGTCAAGAACTTACATCCTGGTTGCTCATGTCCCAATACGGTCTCTCTCCAAAAGACATGACCTCCCACATGACAATGCCATAGCTCCACACATCTGAGGCTGAAGTAAACTTTCTGAAGGCTATCGCCTCTGGTGCTGTCCAGCGTATTGGGATCTTACCTCCCTGCACAGAAAAGAAAACAGTCAGCACTGCAAAGCTTCAAACAAACATGATCAGAAAGGGCTCTGACAAGGAAAGAATACATAGGTATATATCTTTATAAATATATATATATATATAGAGAGAGAGATATCTATAGATATACTGCAGACAGATTTAATGAAAGTGTTCGATAAGCATCATCTGAAGAGGAGTGTCATCGTACCAGGGAGCTGGTGTAAGTCGGGTCAGATGAGTTCTCCTGGAGGAAGCGCGACAAGCCGAAGTCGGACACCTTGCACACGAGGTTGCTGTTGATCAGGATGTTGCGGGCAGCCAGGTCTCGGTGGACGTAGCTCATCTCCGCCAGGTACTTCATGCCAGAGGCGATGCCGCGCAGCATCCCCACCAGCTGGATGGGAGTGAACTGGCTGTCGTTCAGCTACGGAGGAGAGAAACAGTTCAGTCGGAGAACGGCTGAAGCGGCGGTGCGTTTCAGTGTTTTCTCTGTCACACTCACCCGTAGAAACGAGTCCAGAGCTCCGTTCTCCATAAACTCTGTGAGGATCATAACCGGACAGCTGGCTGTGATGATCCCCTCCAGGTGGATGATGTTGGGGTGCTGGAACTGACCCATGATGGACGCTTCAGAAAGGAAGTCCCGCCTCTGCTTGTCAGTGAAGCCTCCCTTTAGTGTCTTGATGGCCACGTAGTTTTCTTTTTTCCCCGGGACCTTCAGCCGCCCGCGACACACCTCCCCAAACTCTCCTGCAGCACACAGACACACACGTCTTCTTTAACTGGTGTTAACCACATTAGGAGGGCAGTTGTCTTCTGCAAACCTACAGCTCGCCTGAAGCTAGCAGTGCACTTTAGATTGAATAAGAGCTGGAAACAAATTTATCAGTTTATTGCTTTATTTACACGGCAATATTGAATTTTGTCTGATAAAGAATAATAAAGACAATTGTTTTAAATGTCACAGAATCAATTTAGCTTAGTGAATTAAATATATTCCTAATAATGTTTTGTTGAAAGTTGACAACCCGTTAGGCTTAAAAAAACAAAACTCACAGAGAGTTCACAGAGAGAAAGTACATTTGTGAATAATGGGAAAAGCCTAAAGCTGGGGCTTACCAGCACCGATAACCTCCTCGATCTTGACAAAGGAAACATCAATTTCCTTGGCAAATTCTCGCACGGCCTCATTAGGGTCCTCATAGGTGAAGGGGTCGATGTAAACCTTGACCCCTGCAAATAAAAACAAACGGAGTCGTGGGAAAGGAAAAGAAGAAATGTTAAGAGTACAATGAGCACATTTCTTGACTTGGGCGTGTTTTAAATCACAGCTACGGTTTAGTGTGCATGTCCTTCATCTGTTACCTTGGCCAATAAGGTACTGGTTGTTTTTGTCGCTCAGCTCTGGATCCTTTACCCGGCTGTGTCTGCTGCAGGTAGAGAGAGATCGGGATAAATACAATAAAGATTAGGATTGGCAGCGCAGTTATCTGAAGAATGAGATTTTGACTTTTTTTTGGCAAGCCTTCTTAGTGCTTTATCAGCCCAATGTTATGCAAATCACGGGTCTTACAATGTGCTGTGTTTCTGTGACTAAAATACAAAGTCTAAAAAAGGAAAAAACGAGCCAAAAAACATATTCACACACTGTATGAATATTTGTATTTGATGTTAAAAAAATCTGGGATGATAGCAAGCATTGCAAAATATGATACTTTTTTTATCCCCTTAGAAAATATTCTGCTATCTTGGCCCCATTCACTGAGAAGTCAGAGGTAAGATCCGATAAAGACCAAAATGCTATCTTTTACAAGATCCGTCGTTCTGTTATTTTTTGAGAAAACAATCCTCAACCAGTCCTGTGGTAACGGTGAACAAACCGTTAAGGTTCTGCTCTTTGATACAAGCAGCTCCATTATAACTGTGCTGGCGCTAACTCATCCCTGCTAGACTGTAACAACCCTGTAGCTACTGGATCCCTGCCTTCCACCATTTCTCTCCTGCTCCCACCTCATAAGCCTAAAATAGCAATAATGTGCACCACCCTCGGTTAGTGGCAGATCAGCCACTGGTTTGTGTGTGTAAGTGTGTACGTGTATACGTGTGTATGTGTGTGTCACAAGGTCATAGCCATTGTTCTCCTGCCCTGTGGAAACAGGGTTGGGACGCCTGCATCCTGTCTCTCCCTGCCCTCTACCTCTACAGTCATATCTCTCTCTCTCACACTCGCGCACGCACGCACGCACGCACACGCACACACACACACACACACACACAATAACACTATTTACTCAAACAATGAAGCCTAAGAAAAATGTTCTAATGAGCACGATAACTTTTGTCCGTGTAAGCAAAAGACCATCATGAGCATTGCTTTGTGTCTGAACTGCCTCAAACACAGAAAGAAATGGTGTGGGTGCCAAGAGTGCAAACCCACTGTTGATAAGATATGATTTCTATAAACAAAAGAACAAAGTGGTGCAAAACTGTAAAATTGGGGTCACGGTTGTCATTGGTTTTCCCTTATGTCCCGTTTCCTGTTATTCTGTCAACTTCTTTCCCTTCAAAATCGATCTTTTTCTCTGCTTCTACACCCTTTCCCTCGTTCTCACCGGATGCAGTAGGCGGCCACTAAGACGAAAGTGACAAGCAGCAACATCCCCACAGCGATAAGGATGCCAGGTACTAGGAACTGGGCGGCAGAGTCGAGACCTGAGAGAGCAGACAGAAAGACAGAGAGTTAGAGTGATGTAACGACAGAGATCATTGCAGGAGCTTCTTTTTTTTGCCGCAAAAAACAAGTATGAGAAGGAAAGAACATGACAGGAATGTAGAATATTAAAGAGGCTCAATACAAGGACACCACCTGAATAGAAGGACAGAGACAGTACATTCATTCAACAAAAAGGGACTGAAAAGAATATGAAAAACTTTCCCTGTGGAAATGGCAAAAAAAAGGGTGTGAAAGAATAATGTGTGTGACGCTCCCTCTTCAAGAGCAAACTTACCGTCAGGCAGAGTGTGGAACATGGCTGCAGGACTGAAGCTGCCATAACCGGCCACGGTGCGCGCTCGGACCTGCACCTCGTACTGAGTGGCCCTGCGGAGGTCCGTCAGCACGGCCTGGTTTCTGGTACTCTCTGCGTAGTGGCACTGATCCTCGTTACGTCGCTCCTACCGCATGAAAACACAGTTAGCTGGACTGGAAGTGGGCGTAAAACAGGAATATGAGAGGGAACGACAGAAAAAAGATGCTTGAAAAAGCAACCATTGTTGAATGTTGATTCAGTCAAAATGACTCAATCCAATTATAATACAAACACAATCTTAATCAGAATCTTGTTAACTAATTATGTTGGAAGGGAACATATGTTTAGAGATTCATATCGTTCACACAAAAGCGTCTTACGTCTCAGTTGGTATGATGGTGTCTCTGAGTCAGGTTCGTCTCGTGTGTTGTTGTCAGAGAAACCTCACCGTAGAAAAGTCAACCGCACACCCATGTGTACCGTCTACTGCCTCAGCAGTTGTCACATGCAACACTGAGACAAAGTATAGTGCCGTGTTCACAAGATGAGCGACACAGCAACAGGCTACATGTAATTTTAAATGGAAGCCGTTAAAGCCGCTCTCCAATGATGCAGTGAAGCGTGAACCGATCATATGGTAGCCGGCCATGCTTGGTGTTCTGTTGCGTTAAGTGTGGACATAGCTTAAATCTCAGCCAATCAGATGGTCATGTCTTAAGCTGTTGTACTGCAATGCATAATTTCACACTGTCAAATATATGGGGTATTGTTCGGTTAGACAATATAGACAATCTGGTTTTCAGTTCTCTTTGTACTGTGTGAGGAAATCCACACTAGCCACTGTACTCCCCTGGTTACATTTCCTTGCAAAACATTGAGTCTTTCTAATCGTGAGCCGCAGTGCAACTGAAAATAAAATCAAGAAACCTGAATAGTATGTGACCTTTAAGCCAGACAGTTAAAGAGATGTCTTCAGGGGGCTCTCACCTTCTCACAGTAGCGTAGCTGATATTGCAGGATGGTGTAGTGAGGCTGAGCTGGGACTGACCAGTGCAGAGTCAGACTGCTCTCTGTGGAGTCACTCTTCCGAATCACAGACACCAGCGAGGGCACTGCACAGATGGCAGAAGAATTATAAACACCACATGAAATTCGGACTATTCACACGCTTGCACATCTTCCCAGTCGTTCCTCTCTTACCGTCGTGGCTCGTGGTGATGTTGACATTTTCACTGGCGGGGTCTTTGCCGCTAACCGGAGACACCCCGTTGAGGGTCTGGATTGTGAAAGTGTATGTGGTTTGAGGCAGCATGCCCCACACCTCCACCCTGCGTCCCAGCAGGCCGTGCTGCGCGGGCCGGTAGCTGACGCTGTCCCCGCAGGAGAGGCACTGCCCCTTGGGAGACCTGCACACAGAGCACCCGACGGCGTAGCTCAGGTCCGTTCTGCCGCCGCTGTCCAGAGGTTCGTTCCACGCCAGACTGAGCGTGGTGTCGTTGATCTGGGTGACGATGCTGCGCGGAGCCGAGGGAGGTCCTACAGTGCCAAAAAAAAGAGCCAAAGTTAAACTGATTTGGCATTCTTTATTTTGTAATTAATGGAAATAAGCAGATGATTTTATCTTTCAAGATCCTGACAGACACATTACACAAATTGACGTCTTTATGCTTTCTATACTGATGACACAAACGAGATGATGCAACATGTTCATTCGTGAGCTTTGGATGTGCAGGTAGGTGGATTTGTTTCGTTGTTTTGGATGTTAAGCTAAGCTAACTGTCTGCTGGCTGTAGCTTCATATTTACCACACAGACATTGGAGAGTAGTACTGATCTGAAGAAATCAAATATGCAAATCTCCCAAAATGTCAATCTATTTCTTTAAATGTATTTTTTTATTTTTTACTAAATACCCTCAGAAGTCATCCACCAAATACAGGTATGTGTTACATTATTCAATGTACATGGCATCACATTTTAATATAGAGGCGTCTCTTACGCCTGACGCAATCACGATGTATAAAATGTCTCTTTCAAATCAAATCTTAATCTCTTCTGTGTGATTTTACTGCTGCTTTACCTTTCCATGACCCGCACAGACCATTAGTTTGTGTTTCTCCGTATGCGTTGAAGACATTTTATTCCGTCTGCACATGTAGTCACGAAGCAGAACAATGCTCCTGCAGTGCCTTTGCGTCACAGCAGGAGCATATGTGTTGCAGAATTTAACTGGTGCAATTACGTTTGTCTAAAAGTGGATGATAATGATCACCGTCTGAAAATTGTAAGAAGATAGCTATTGCCTCAAGCCAAGCATAACTAAGCAGTAATACCACTCAGCCACTGTGAATGAGTTTCTGTTCCTGCCAAGGAGGCAGAGCTCTGTCACCGAGCCTGCAGCGAACTTAAGTGCTGATAGTGTTCACACCGGAAGCCCAAGTGGGGCAGCATCAGAGACGATCTGGGTGCGAATGAATTCTGTATTCAACTTTTTGAGAATGGGGATTTTTAGAGGTGATACATTTTATAACTAAACAATCAGAATCCACATTATTAAAATCACCAGGGCTGTCACATTACTGTAAAACACGTATTCTCAGGGGAAAAGGTCCGTTGTGATTTACAGTTGGCACGTCTGGTTTGCAATTTTGCATACAAATTGAAAATATAAGTGATGTGCAGAATCGCACGGGCAATCCAGTGCAATAACAGAATAAATAATAGGAATGGCCTAATTAAGTGATTAATAATTAAGATAAAGCCTTTGTAATTAAAGCTATCAGTAATAATAAAATTGGATGTAAAGTCTAGTTGGCATTGATATCACACCTGCAGAGAACAAGTTCTGCCAACATCCCCACCGTGTTTCACTTTGTTTCACATCCTCTTTATGGCCATTTCCAAAAGAATGCACCTAATTACAAAGTCCCTCCCATTCACACATCCAAGACGCGGCTGAATTAAAATTCCTGAATCTGGATGGAGGTGTCACTTAAGACCATCAACGCCTACTCCACTTTAGAGTGGACGCCCTGCCCCCAACCACCTGTCACAAAAGACATGCATCTCAATGCCCCGCAGCGGGACAAAAGACATAAAGCAGATTAGAGGAGTTTGGCTACATAACACCAGGGTGGAAGAGAAACAGCAGCAGAGAAGTGCAGAAGAGCAGGGCAAAGTAGAGAAGTGAAAACAAACGAGTGGATGCTTGTATTGCTCAGCACCTCCAAATTAGCACGGTTTCCTGTATACTCACTAGTGCACGGGGTGTCGGCAGAGTCGGACTCTGCACGTAAGTATCCGGAGCGGCAGGCACACACCGACGCTCCTCCGACGGCGGCGTGGCTGAATCCCGGACAGCCTGTGCACTGTCCCTCCGAGGCCGACTTGAACTGACCAACAGGACAAGCTGGGGAGGACAAATGAGGGCAAATTATCAGGACTTTTGATTCAGGACATGATCCTGCACAACATTGCACCAACTCCCGCCCCCCACTGTGTCCCAGACCGACCTGGGTCAAACCGAATTTGCAAACATGTCGCTGTTTGTTTTTCAGCGTACATGGGTGCCAGATGGTTGCAGATTGACAGACAGAACCATGTGATGAGGGCTATAAACTGAGGACAAACGCAGTAATGAAGCTGATTGTGATTTCAATTTAGTGCATAAACCAGTCTGACATTGACATGCCGCTTATTATTGACTTTACCTGACCATATCAGAATAACGACACCAAACATGTGGCTCCACTTATTGATCCAACTATCGTCCCCTCTCTGTACTCTCCTCATGAAAACCCAAAACGGCCGTGTGGCATCCAAGGTGTAAAGAAACAGTGAAATGAGTCTGAACCAGCGATGAAAGGATTACTTGATCGATCAATTACTCGACAGAGAACTCGATTAAAAACTGGCTGGTTTAAGCTTCTCAAATGTGAGGATTTGCTGCTTTTCTCTGTTTTATAACACCGTAAATGCATTTCATAGACTATTAGCTGCAGTAGTCCCCTCACGCTGTCTCCTCTTGGCTTCACATGAACACTTCTCCTCCATGTGAATGTGTAACGATCGGTCACCTTGTAACGCCACAGTCAGTCACCAAAACCAGCATGTCTATAATAACTGTTCGGTGCGGCGGTTGAAATGCCGCGTGAGAGGAATAAAGCAATAAAAATCTTTCACAGCGAGTGGAGCATTGTTAAAGGGTCAACACACTCACACAGATCCTTTCCTACTGACATTTTGCCTGCGAGAGTTTCCCACATGTGAAAACTGTATTGACGCATGCCTCACCCGCTAAAGGTTGTAAGTACATACTTTATAAGTCAAATGCAAGCGACTGTCACAACACAGGATTATCAAAATAACCTGGGTGCTAATATTTAACTTTAAATCTATATGGGAATATTCAGAGCGTCGTCTCCTACCCTTTTGTATTATATAACATTGGTAAAGCTACAGTATACTAGCACAGCTCCTCCCCTGTATCAGTATTCATAGCCTGCTAGAGCTTTACTTCAAAGACGTGTTTAAATATTCTAATCTAGCTCCTCAACAACACTCGACTTGACATTATTCAGAAGTTTTACGTTAAAAGCTTGTGTTTGACCCAGAAAATATATGTGTTGTCGTTGGTAGATTACAGCTAAAGTAATTTAATGTTAAACGCAGACATCAATTGTATTTCCAGTGACCGGCCTATGAAGCAAATTAACAGTTCAATCTTGCGATAAAGGCAATTTCCCTTTATGGTCTGGTGAGTGTATTTTCCTCACGGCTCTCTTCAGTGACAGAATGCTGGAAATGCTAGCGCCGCTTCACCAGAAGCAAAATGTAGGAAATTATTATTATTTTTTGTTGTGAAAAATCATTATACCTCCCACAGAGATCAACCCGAATCCAACCTTCAACGAGACATTTTCTTGAGAAAATGTAGCATTTCTTTCTTATGTCTCAGTGGTTTCAGTGCTCAACATTTGTCTGTGTTGGTGCGATGCAGTGTGTGTGTGTGTGTGTGTGCGCGCACGTGTTCACGCACGAGGCTTGTTAATTGGACTCATTAGACAGAGCTGCTGCACAGCTCCTGAGAGAATCATCCTGCTTCTTCCTTCTTTTTTTGGCCTGCTTTGCTTTGATGTTCTCAAAGTGATATGATCTTTACCCCGAGCGCCCCCCTCCCCCACCCCCTTTCCTGCGCACTCACCTCTCCACTCCCCTGTGTGCTCCCTCTAACTTAGCTGAACCATGAGCTGTCGCAGCAGCAAGCCTTTGACCCTGCTCTTCCCGTCTGAGATAAGTGCTTCTCCACCTGACCTCTCTCTGTCCACTCCGTGTTACAGCCGCTCCCCTGCCTCATTAACTTCCTCCGGCTCCCATTTCTCTGCTCCAGCGTTTTGATACTCAGTGAACCCCTCCCCCGCCACCATCACCCCCTCTCTCATCTTACCATTGTTTTCTTGTTTAGTCTGCCTGCTCTGCTTACCTGGGCAGGTGTAGTCCATAAACACCCTTGTATATGTGGCCTAACCGTGTCTCCTTCTCACCTGTGCATATAGTGTGTCCTTCAGAGGGCTCATATCCTGGTAGGCAGGCGCAGGAGGTCGTCGGCTGGCCCACCCACTGGCCGTCCTCCCCGCAGAAGAGCTTTGGCGGCCGAGGTCGAGGCCCCTGCTGGGAGGCGTGCTCCACACACACACCCTGCGCCTCTTGCACCAGAGTGCGGGGCACCGTCTCGGAGAAAGAGGAAAGAGCACTGACCAGGGGGGGGCACTTTTTGAAGAACACCCTGACGGACAGCAGGGCCATGCTGGCGCCCTGAGCCTGAAAAGCCAAGTAGAAGCCTCTCATTGACAGCGGGCCGAATCGTAAGGTCTTCACATTGAATTTCCGCTCCCCACCCTTCCTCAGGAGAAAGTCTGCAGCCACTGTGTCCACCTAGGACAGGAAGAAAGACAACAGATCTTATGTAATGGCCCGGTTCCAACACACTCACTTCTAAAACAGGACCAGGCTGGCGGTTTTGCATGTTTTAGCCATTTTAGCCCATTAGCTAGACATCCCATATGCTTCACATTATTGAACAAAGCATTCCACTGTGATTTTAGATGGATCGCCTACCTTCCTGGCAGCCATTGTTTCGCATTTGTTACAGTACGCTTTGAACCTCAACTTGCAGGGACTTAAAAACTCGCTTCGGAGAAATGTAATAAATTACAGTGAACATATTCATCACTTTTATTTTTCTGTCAAAGTTACATGATTAAGCGGTAATGAAGTCAAGGAGCAGTTACTATTATGCAAACCTCTATTTGGCGGTGTGTTCAAGGACTTCACAACATCTCATGTTTGATAATGAGATGCCAAGAAGCACTTTGCTCGTGAGCTATGTGTTCGGAAAATGAAAGCCAGAAGATGAACAATAAGCGAACATGCAGGTTGTGAAAACAGCGCTTGCTCCCATGTGAAGATTACATCACTTGGACAAAAAAATGAAAGCGATTAAATGCCGACTAATATAAATGCATTACTAAATCAACGCGTTTTGTCTCTGCAGGCTGACGACTTTTAAGGAACGAATGAGAGCAAAATGCACATTAAAGGCCAATTTAAAAAAACTTAGGTAATTTACAAAATACTTACATCAAACATACATGGATAGAAAATGTAACAGAACCAGTTAAGTCCTTTAATCGGTCTTAAAGGGTTGTCCCATTTCATAGGGGAAGATTTCCACCACTACCCCCTGTAACTCTGACCTGATCAGTCAGGTCGCATTGAAGTGTCAAGTGTGGACTCACATGTGCGGACACAGCTGAGCTGTCGCATCCAATCACAAAAGTCGCATTGAAAAGACAAGTGTAACCACGGCCATAGGATCAAAGAGACACCGATGATGTCATCCAGGCTATAATAATGACTATTTAATCATGAATTAATTAATTAGAGCGATTAGTTGATTAATCAATAAGTCAACTGATAGAAAATGTATCGATCTATCTAAAACTATTTTCACCTTTTTGAGTTCGATTAATCAATTTTCAAGCAAAAATGCCAAAAAATGTCACGCTTCAAAAAAATGTGCCGTTTTTGCTTGACAAATTAAAGTATCATATATAAAGAGTCATGTAAGAGTCAGTTCAATATTTTTTCGGGTTTTGCAGTGTTGGTCAGATAAAACAAGTTAATTAAAGGCATCGCTGTAGGCTCCAAGAAATATTGAATGCATTTTTTTCTAATCCCTTACAATCAATAGTTAGTCGGAGCTTAAAGTTAATTATGTTGAAAAGGTGAAAAAGTTCCTCCAGAGACATTATAAAGTTGTTCTCACAGGCTCATCGACACTAACCGTGGCAATTAATCTGATCTTCATATGTAAAATATGTGGAGTAACTCTTTAATGCAGATTTAAAATTCAATAAAACATATCACTTGAACAACCACAGAGAGAAAAGCTGTCCTTTGATAAGAACGACTAACTGACATAAACCATCGGAGGGCGGGCGTGAACGTACCTTGGTGTACGGGTTCTCCATCCAGGGCGGGTAAGAGGGCGTGGCCTCGTTGGAGTCGGCCTGGTAATAGTACAGGTTGAAGGTCTCCTTACAGCTGCGGTGGTGGGTGCTCCTGGAGGAACACTCCATCATGGTGAATCGCAGCTCCACGTAAGCCTGAGACGCTCCTCGTCGCTGGATGAAGCCGCTGCGCAGCCAATGGCTGGATGAGCTGTCAGTCTGACAGATCTGGTAGATCCTCACGCTGTTGTTCTCCTCATCTAAACCGCTTAGCTCCTCCCACTGAGAAAAAGAAGAAGAAGAGAACAAAGAGTTGTCAAAGGTTGCAAGTTAAAATGACATCTGACCCAGAAAAACCTGTGAACATTTTTAATTCTCTAGGAGAGACTTTCACTAGGGTCTTTAAAAACGTCATCACATTAAAAGCCCTGTTCATCATAATAATGCTGCGACTCTTTGTTGGCCCTCTGCTGTACTGCACCTGTCAGAGGCCCGAGGGACAGATCTGGCCTGCTGTGGATTTAGATCCAGCCCAAATTTGACTCTGGGTTGTTAAATCATTCGTCCTGCTGAGCTGCAACCCAGCAAGGGGGAATCCAAGTCTCACTTGTCAAACAGAGCACACTGCTGCACACAGCAGCCGAGACAGACACAGATTTCACCCTTCAAACACACTTTTAGGCTAAAATACAAGCATACAGAGGGGGATATCACAGACATACGTATGAAGCGAAAACCCTCCACAGAAATCTACATTTGTTGGGGAGCCAAATGCAACCGCAAAAAAGCTTTAATGTTTGACTTCTGAGTCAACAGCAAACATGTTCACCATCACTGTGTTCCCAAGAGCGGGAAACGAGCACGGAATTAACATACTCAGGGCAGAATTGAGCAGATTTGCTGAACTTGAGGCTCAGAAATTCGGTTATGTAAATATGTAAATCTTCAAAATCCATTTGCAGATGATGTGTTGAGTGAGGCAGAATACTGGTCTGAATGAATTACAGTGCAGCAGAGCACTGAGAGCCAGGTTTGAATCACTCGGAGGAGAGAATTTCCCCTTTTAATTCCAAAAACGAAATACTATGGACTTTGGCAGCACATGTTTTCTGTGAACAAAATGCTTTCTGTGATGAGGATGTACAAAAATATCCCACAGGGCTCGTCTGGATTTGACATAAATCATTTAAAGAAATTGTTAAAAGTCGGTTTTTGAAAGCAAAATCAGAGAGATGGGCACATGACACACATCCATTACGACACTGATCATGTGTTTGACATTCCTCTCAGTACAAAGCACACCGGAGGTCCGAGCGAAGTAAATGCGTTTTATACAGAAAACATTCAACCTGTTCACACAAGATTTGAGTCGATACACATCACTGTTAGACCGCCAAATTATATTGATGATTCATATTTTAGGTTTAACATGAATATTAGCTTCATTTTGGTTCCTCGTAAAAAGTTCATGCAACAACTAACAATCATGTTTACGTTTTCATAATCCTTTAATGCTAAAAATAAATAACCATATATTAACCGTTTTATATCTGTAATTGTGATGCAGACGGCTCACGACATCTCCCTGTCATTACCGACTAAATCACTGCTTTATACGCTTTAGTGTTAAAAAACACAAAAGCAATATTTTTGACAACGTGACACTTTTGATGAACGGCTTCAAATGATAACGGCTGTGCAAACTATTTAGAGACTGTCGGCGTGTTTTGCTTTGCATCTTAATCAAACGCGGAGACACATTCGCTGAGTGTTTCTGTCTGGTTTTAGAAACCTCCTCGCCAGCGTCACTGCAACCATTATTTTCCTTCTGAGGAATCAGCAAGTCGAGCGGTTTGGGTCACTGATGCTGTTGGCAAAAAAAAATACCCTCACAACCACTCCTCGGTTGATCAAATTACAAATATGTCATTCTCTGGCAGCGGTATTCAAAACTGTGGGCAGCCAGTGACTTCAACTCCAAGGTTGATGGGATATATCAAAGCATCTGCTTTCAATGTGCCTTGAATCCCACATTCACTCTGGCGTTTCCTTTATTCTGTCAGTTACCTGCCATATAAGGAGCTCTTTCATAGCCAAAGTAACAAAGGAACAGCTGGAAGCTAAAAATCCCCAGTCACCACAAAGTCTGTGTTGGTAATACAGATAACAAAGTGGAGCTGGGGGTTACATACCGCGGGTTTGGCGTGTGAGAAGATGGTCCATTTGAGATCAGAAGTCTCCGTTTTCGTGTTCATCAGGACCTCTGTGAGGGAAAGAAACACACGAACAACACAGCGTCACTCACAGCAGGAAATATAAAAATGACACGCATACGATTCATTTACATTCAGAGAAACACACAGGTGACTTTAAAATCAAAGGGGCGAACATATTTCCGAGTCCCGCGTTCCCTGCCAAGTATCGGCTTCGGCTTACGGTGGGATTACGGTAGAAGATGGAGTTTCACCAGTCAATTACATCTACAGAAACATTCCCACTGCCCTAAAAAATGTGCTTCTTCTCATGTTTGTTTTTATTCCCTCCCCAGAATCCCTTGTGTTCCCGGCGACACGGCATGCCTGTGGTCACACTACACCTGCTGTGAAGAGTCCGGAGAGTAGTCGGGGCAAGCAGTTGGGACAGGAGAACACCGATACCCACTCACAGACATCCCAATGTAAAGATTCAAGCCCTTCCAGTCACGATCTGTGATTACAATAGAATTGATTTTCTTTTCTAATCTTTTGAGGGGCAGGCTGCCAGCTCACAAACAATCAGAGCAGTTCCGCGATGATTCAGTACCACAATAAAAAAAACGGGGCCTGAACCGATGCGACTCGGTGCAGAGTGAGCTCTTCTTTTTCATGTGAGGGCATCTTTCTCCCCCGGCTGTCTCGGCAGATTGTCTCTGCTGAGTTGTGACTAGTATTCATGCTGATGGGATGAGGTTTCTGTCACAGACCGGGTTTTTAGAGCACCTACGTGTTCCCCACAGAAGCTCATCTCAAGGGTGAGGCCGTTTGGTTTTACCAATAAACAGGATTTAATGCGACTCTCCTGTGTGCCACCATCAGGGCGAGCACTTGCATGAAAATGGATGCTGGAGGAAATGGGGGGGGTTTCAGTGTGAGCTTATCATTGGGGTTATTAAGATGTTTTCTTGAATTAGGCTCTCAATATAAGTCTCAACGGTAAAGTCTGGCATCCAATACCCTCAGTGACACACACACACACACACACACACACACACACACACACACACACACA